TCCTGCTGCTCCCAGGAGGGTGGCAGCTCCTGGCAGCCCTTGCCAAGGACAGGGAGAGCACTCTGGGCTCCAAACAAAATGGGCATTTAATAAAGCAACATTAAAAGGCCCTTCCTTGCATTTGTTAAGATTTGTTAAGTTCACAGCAGAATATGTAAGTAGAGGACAAAAGGTTGGGAAAGTCAGGCCAGAAATCTGAGAGACAAAATTAAAGCAATTGCCAGATTTTAACTGTGGTTTGGGAGAAATTCTCCCCAAAAAAAAAAAAAAAAAAAAAAAACCCCCAAAAAAACCAAACCAAACAAAAAAAAAAAAAAATCACCAAAAAACCCAACCAAAAGCATCTTAATGAGCACAAGTAATTAAATCTGTTTTTATGTATTCTTTAACACATAATTTGTCCAGTAGGACCAGATCCTTCCCTGCACTGTTTTATGTGGTCCTCATCCCATTGTTTCTGAAAATGGCAGGATTTGTACTACAGGATTGTCCTGGGGACTGCAAGTGTGGCATTCCCACTGTGAGGATGTGGAAAATTAAATATTACAGAATCCTGGAATGGTTTGGGTGGGAAGGGACCCTAAAGCCCACCCAGTGTCCCCCCTGCCATGGCAGGGACACCTTCACAGCCTGGCCTTGGAACTCCAGGGATGCAGGGGCAGCAAAGAGGGAAGGAGTAACTCCAGGCTGGGCTGGAATAGAGCCTGGATGCCCAGGCCCAGGTGGGCATTGCTGGGTTCCTCACCTGAGCCCACAAATTCCTCCCACAGCCCCACATCCCTTCGGGAGTCCCGGGCGCTCCCCGGGTCCTCGGCAGCCCGGGGGGCAGGGGATGCGGGGGGGTCACAGAGCAGGGATAAACCCGGGAGAATTTTGGGGATTTCCTGCCCCAGCCGGGTCCGGGGCAGTGCTGGGCGTGGATCCCAGTGCCAGGACAAGGCTGGCATGCCGGGATCCCAGTGCCAGGACAAGGCTGGCATGAATATGTAAGTAGAGGACACAAGGTTGGGAAAGTCAAGCCAGAAATCTGAGAGACAAAATTAAAGCAATTGCCAGATTTTAACTGTGGTTTGGGAGAAATTCTCCCAAAAAAAAAAAACCCAAAAAAACCCCCCAAAAAAACCTCAAAAAAACAAACAAACAAAAAAAAACCCCCAAAAAAACCAAACCAAACAAAAAAAAAAAAAAATCACCAAAAAACCCAACCAAAAGCATCTTAATGAGCACAAGTAATTAAATCTGTTTTTATGTATTCTTTAACACATAATTTGTCCAGTAGGACCAGATCCTTCCCTGCACTGTTTTATGTGGTCCTCATCCCATTGTTTCTGAAAATGGCAGGATTTGTACTACAGGATTGTCCTGGGGACTGCAAGTGTGGCATTCCCACTGTGAGGATGTGGAAAATTAAATATTACAGAATCCTGGAATGGTTTGGGTGGGAAGGGACCCTAAAGCCCACCCAGTGTCCCCCCTGCCATGGCAGGGACACCTTCACAGCCTGGCCTTGGAACTCCAGGGATGCAGGGGCAGCAAAGAGGGAAGGAGTAACTCCAGGCTGGGCTGGAATAGAGCCTGGATGCCCAGGCCCAGGTGGGCATTGCTGGGTTCCTCACCTGAGCCCACAAATTCCTCCCACAGCCCCAGATCCCTTCGGGAGTCCCGGGCGCTCCCCGGGTCCGCGGCAGCCCGGGGGCAGGGGATGCGGGGGGGTCACAGAGCAGGGATAAACCCGGGAGAATTTTGGGGATTTCCTGCCCCAGCCAGGTCCGGGGCAGTGCTGGGCGTGGATCCCAGTGCCAGGACAAGGCTGGCATGCCGGGATCCCAGTGCCAGGACAAGCCCGGGCAGGGCTGGGTGTGGATCCTATAGCCAGGACAAGGCTGGCATCCCCGGATCTCACTGCCAGGACAAGGCTGGCATCCCGTGGCAGCCACTGGCATCACGCCCGGCCAAACACTCCCGGCTCCTCCTGCTCATCTCCTTATCCCCTTATCTCCTTATCCCCTTATCCCCTTATTCCTGTATCCCCTTATTCCCTTATCCCCTTATTCACTTATCTCCTTATTCCCTGTATCCTGCAGCTGGAAAACCAAAAATTCATCTCACCAGTGCGAAAAAATCAGTCTTGCAATGGCTTAGAGCAGATGAACCCCTCCCTCCTTTTACCTGCAAGATTCCCAGAGCGTAGAAAAGCCGGGAAAACACTCATGGACAAAGCAATCATCCTGAATGCCTCAGCACCTAATTATCTTTTTTTTTTTTTTTTTGGATTGTCTAGACTTACTATCTTTCTTTATAAGGTTTTTTAAGGTTAAAGTATTTAATTAAGAAATTACACTTAAATTATTTTTATTTTTAACTTAACTAATCAAGTCTGCAATGTGGACTTTTTTTGTCTAATTACAACATACTACTTAAACTTATGAAGGAGAAGGTAAAGGAGAAGGACTAGTTTCTGCCTTAAAATTTGTATCTTGTATTATAAATATTACTCTATTTTAAAGTTTTCTACTACGTGATATTACACACCTCTAATCAAACTACACACTTGCAATCCCAGCGCTATCCATCAATTTTGGAAGCCTCCTCCACAGCCTCAGGTCAAACGTAGTGCTCTTCTTCTGGGGGTCAGAATTTGCCAGCACAGAAAGTCTCAAACTCTCAGCATCCAGATCTCCAACATCAGAACCCACAGGCAATAAAAAGCAACCACAGCAAACTTCTCCCTGCATTTGTAAATCCAGAAGAGTGGAGCAATCAATAGAGCAGAGGTCTGGGTTGTAATCAGAGCCTTCTGTGTGAAACCAGCTTTTCTTTAAACACTACAGGCTCGTGGTAGGGGCAGAATATTCCCTAAAAACCAGAGAATGGTTCATTAGTGTTCATGGGAACAGAGGATCAATCTGCCCCTGTGAAAGTTAATGAGTCCAGCAGATTTCACACCCCGGCACTGATCTCTGTGCCTGAGGCTGCAGGGTTGTTAGCACTCCCCAAACTCAGCAGCAGGGCTCAGCTACAACTCTCCTGGAATTAATTCCATCTGTGTGACTATTTAAATAATTGCCAATCTGCCTGCGAGTCACAAACTTCTAGAGATGCTCACCTGCTTAAATATTAATGAAGCTTTTCTGCTGTAAGGTGCAAGGGAAAGGAAAACTAAACACAATTATAAGAATTAGAATTGACAGCAGGGAAAGCTGGAAAAATAAAAGGTGTTTCACTCAGACAAATGCTCAACCAACCCACTTTAATCACTGCCTTCCCTCAAGGAGGCAAAAATTGCTTTATTAAATCTTGATCAAGAAAAAAATGGAAGATCTCCCTTATTTAAGGGAAAAAAAAAAAGGTTTGAACAATGATAAAAATACTTCGAGGTTTTGAGCAACTTCTAGCAAGTCCTGGTGCAAATCCAGGTGTCCCTTCATCCCTTCAAATGGGAATGGAGATGATGTGACCCATCCCATTTCTCCCAGCAGCACCAGGATTTACTTCCAGCAGCTGTGTTGCCCTCTGCGCTATTTAAATCATGCCACTTGCATTTTGTTACCTGCAATAAAAACATCTACAAAAAAGAAATGCAATGGGAAGTCTTGATATTAGATTTTTTTTTTTCCTCATTAATTTGATTCCAAGATTGGCATTTTAGGAGCATTACCTGCTGTGGTCTGGACTCTCTCCCTGTGTGCTATTCCAGTTTGTTGGTTCAAGAACTGGAATAACTTCTCAGCGTGGATCTGAGCAGTGGGGTGAGCAGCTCCACTCTTCCTCCCTGCTCCCTTTTCCCCCTCCCCTAACACACATCCTTCCATCTCCCCTGCTCTGGCCTGCAGGTGCATTTTGTGGGATGAAAGGGCCCAGGGGTTCAGCATCTCCCTGAGGCTGAAGGATGTAAAAAAGGCCATGCAGGAATCCCATGGGGCAACTGAAACCAGTCTGTAAATTGGCTTTTATTGTCCTTTTTACCCAGAGCCCAACCCCTTGGTGAGGGGCTGTTTTTGTGCAGGGCAGTCTCTGGAGATGAGGAATTCTCAGGGATGTGGCACCCACTGAGCCCTGGAGCCCAGAGCCCCACAAAGGGCTTGCAGCACCTTTTCTGAGTTCTTCTCCAGCCAGAAGCACCTGGAGGATCCACGGCAGCTCCTGCCAGGTGTGCCAGCACCCATGGAGGCTGAAGAGCCAGCTCCAAACTCAGGGAGCCCTTCCCACTGCCAGGAGGCCATTCCCCCCAGGAGCAGCAAATCCCCTCAGCTTTCTGAGCCAGCAGGGATGGAAAATAACTTCACGTGCTGCCACCAAAAATCAAACCCAAGCAGCTTCTCCATCCTGTGCCATCCCCACCCAGTGACTCACAGCAAAGTGAGTCCCAGGCTGTTTCCCAGCCTTCCCAGGCAGTTTCACTGGCAAGAATAATCTCAGAGCTGGTTGATTTAATGACCCTTCATTTAAAGGCCAAGGTTAGAGTGGCTTTTTTTGGGTCTTTTGTGTAATTGGACTGTTCAGCCACGGCTAGCTGCATTCTATCAATCACTGCATGAGTGAAAGGTGAATAAAAGCATTTACTGGAATGTCATCTCCAGATGAAACAGCAGCTGCTGCCAGGGAGGGGATGCATCAGCAGAAGCAAACCTGGAGGATAAAGACTTATTAGTCACAACATGCCTTTCAATCCCTTCTTGGTGTGAGCAGTTCAGCTCTGGGATGAACAAAATCCTCATTTACAATAAATTAAGCTTATCTTTGCACTGTGGGGCACGTCCCACAAGGATGGCAGATTGATTTTACTTCCTTCAGAAATGCATCTGCCTGCACCACCCTCAGGGTTTGGCTTCCCTGAGAGCCTCCCTCCCCTCCAGCTCTGTTCCACAACATTCCTGCACTTGGAAATCCAGCATTTACCTTTTTTAACTCAAAGTCCCAGACCACGATTCTGGCCTAGAAGAAAATTAGCTTGTGCTAATTGAGTGACAAAATAAAAGAAACGAACACTGCTCCACAAATTGCATGGGACTTTTTTTTTTATTTTCAATGTTTACAGAGATGGAAATAAATACAGGAAAGAGGAGATTCTTTTAAAAGAAATCAATCAAGTCTTCAAACAGGAAAAATTGTATCCAAGAGCTGCTTCAAACTGGCCACCATTCCAGAGATCAGGAACAGGGTAACAATGATGGGAATAACTGAAGATAAGCATTGCCACAAACCAGTGTCAGGAGACAAAATAACCACACTACAGCAGGAGTCTCACATATTTACAACATACCTATCATACAAAATCAGTGGGAAGTGTTTAGGGAGTGATTTCTTCTCTGTCCAGTGTATATAAAAGATACACCAGAGGGTTTGGTGGCTTGGTTCCTCTCCCCAGCATCCACAGAAGCGTTTCTGCTTTTGGCAAAGTTTAAAAAATCCTTTGTATTGCAAGAACTCTTCATCCAGGCTGAACTTGTGTGCGTTCCCAGCCCTGGCTGTCAGCAGCACTGGCGTGCCCTGGGGCAGCTGGCCGGAGGACAGAGTTTGAGAAGCTCTGCCTGGATTTCTATCGGGGCTCTGACCTGCAGGCTGGGAACGTGTCCGTGCGGTGCAGCTTCAGCGGGCTGGAAACATCTTCAGAGAGCCAGGAGGAAACAGAACAGCCCAGTTAGACACAGCACCCCAGCCATGGTTTACACACACATCAATTAATTCACTCTAACCCTGCTTAATGTGCTGCTCCAGCTCAGAAATACCCACACAGATTTTCTTTGCCCCTTCCTTCAGAAAGAAACTTATGAAAAGTAAATTAATTTGTTTTCAAAGTTCTGGCTTGCATTTAAAAAGTAAAAATGCTCTTTTAGATCCTTTCTTCCCACTCTTAACAAGCAGGATGTTTTTCTAAACATATAACAAGTGGTTTGTACCCCTGCAGTCTATTTCCCTCGTGCCAGCTCCATGCTGGATCACTGATTTAATTAATGGCTCTGTGGAAGGGCACAGCAGGGCCAGACTGTGCCACAGGCTGCCACCAGCAGCTCCTCCTGCCATGCCCCCACGCATGGAACAGCTCTGAGCAGGCAGGGAAGCGCTGCTTTCCCCTCCATCCCTGCTCTGGATGGAGCTTTCCATGGGCTGCCTGCCCCCTCTAGTGTTGGAAAGAAAGAACCGGGAAAAATATTTCCTTTAAGGAAATATTTTTGTTTGTTTGTTTTTTCTGGGTTTTGAATTCTGAAAACAAACACAACTCCACGGTGCTGACTTTGGCCCAGCTCCTCTGAGGTCTGAGCACCTCCTTTTATTTCCCCTCATGTCCCTGCTCTGGGGGATGTGGTTGTTTTGAATTTTAACAAGTACACAAAATGAATAATGAAGGATCTCAGCACAAGGCAGCCATGCAGAGGAGGGGAGCCAAGGGGCACAAAAAGCATGAAGAGTTTGGGGCAGGTCTGTCCTGAGCCTCCTCTGCTCCAGGACGAGCACCCCCAGCTCCTCACGGGATTTGTGCTCCAGACCTTCCCAGCCGTGGTGCAAAACCTCAGCTGGGACAGCCGAGGTGCAGGGCAGGAATCCTGTCCTGCTCCTGCTGGCCACAGCCTCCCGAGCTCTGTGCCAACAGGACACGCCTGTCCCCAGAGAGCTGAGCAGGGTTCAGGCGAGTGCCACTCCCGAGCTCTGTGCCAACAGGACACGCCTGTCCCCAGAGAGCCGAGCAGGGTGCCACCCATCAGTGCCACCCCCATGAGTGCCATCCCCACAAGTGCCACCCCCATGGAGCACAGCAGCATTCAGGCTGAGTGTCATCCCATGAGTGTCACCCCCACAAGTGTCACCATCATGAGTGCCATCCCCAAGAGTGTCACCCTCATGGAGCAGAGCAGCATTCAGGCTGAGTGTCACCCCCCGTGAGTGCCACCCCTGTAAGTGTCACTCCCATGAATGCCACCCCCATGGAGCAGAGCAGCAGTCAGGCTCAGTGTCACCCTGGGACAGGTCACATGTGGCTCAGTGCCACCCTGGGGCAGTGTCACATGTGGCTCAGTGCCACCCTGGGGCAGTGTCACGGGTGGCTCAGTGCCACCCTGGGGCAGTGTCACATGTGGCTCAGTGCCACCCTGGGGCAGTGTCACATGTGGCTCAGTGCCACCCTGGGGCAGTGTCACGGGTGGCTCAGTGCCACCCTGGGGCAGTGCCCGCTGGCAGTGTCCTTACCTGGCAGGCCCAGCAGCTGCCCGGTGCTGTGCTGGCGGGTGATGTGGTGCCAGTAGGCGCTGCGGGGCAGGGGCACCACGGTGCTCAGTGACACTGCCCGCTCGCTCCTCCTCAGCTGCAGCTGCAAGGCACGACACGGGTCAGGGGCTGTTGCCACATTCTCCTCACAGAGAAAAGCAAGGCACAGTTCTTCCCAAGAATATTTCTGAGATTTACATGCTCTGAACCTCAGAGAGAGCGAAAGCACAATTCCTATCTCTTGCTGTGCCTGTGCTGTACCAGAGTGGAATGCAAGGTGGAGATTTTTCACCCAGAGTGAGGATGTTCTATCAGGGCCAAGTGTGTGTGTGAATCTGGACTGTCATGAGAGAGTCACGAGAGAGTCAGAGATGAGTGCGGCTCTGTGCAGTTGTGAGCAAGGGTGAGTGCAAGGCAGACTCAGTTTAGATGAAATGTACATAGTGTAGAATAATAAAGTAATTATTTAGCCTTCTGATAAGACAGAAGGCATCGTTCTCTCCCCTGTGCAGTGACAAGGGCCAGCCTGCAGCTCTGGGACAGCAGCCCCGGGCACGGCGGCACTGCAGGGCCCAGAACTGCACTCGGGGCCGGGTCTGAGGCTGGACTGGGCTGTGTGTCTGTTCCTGGCCGTGGGCACTGAGCTTCTGCTCAGTTTGCTTTATCTCTTCCACAACCAATCCGTGTGCATGTCCTTGCTGGTTTTATCCTTGAACAGGAATTCCAGTTATACAGATTGCTCTATATTTTATAATCAAGCAGAATATAATAATAATAATAGTAGTAGTAGTAGTAATAATAATGATAAATTTAAGAATAATAGTAAATTTAAGAATAATAATAAATTTGAGAACAATATATAGTAATAATAATATACAACAATAATAATGATGATGATAAATTTAAATTTAAGAATAATAGTAAATTTAGGAATAATATATAGTAATCATAATATACAATAATAAGAATGATAATAAATTTAAGAATGATAATAAATTTAAGAATAAGAATATATTTAAGAATAATAATAAACTTAAGAATAATATATAGTAATATTAATATACAATAATAAGAATAATATTTCAAGAATAATAATAAATTTCAGAATAATATATAGTAATAGTAATATACAATAATAAAAATGATGATGATAATAAATTTAAGAACAATAATAAATTTAAGAATGATAATAAATTTAAGAATAATATATAATAATAGTAATATATTATAATAATAATAATGACAATGATAATAAATTTAAGCATAATAATATATTTAAGAATAATAATAAATTTAAGAATAATATATAGTAATAGTAATATACAATAATAAGAATGATAAATTCAATAATAATAAATTTAAGAAAAATAATAAATTTAAGAATAATATATAGTAATAGTAATATACAATAATAAGAATGATAAATTCAATAATAATAAATTTAAGAAAAATAATAAATTTAAGAATAATATATAGTAATAGTAATATACAATAATAAGAATGATAAATTCAATAATAATAAATTTAAGAAAAATAATAAATTTAAGAATAATATATAGTAATAGTAATATACAATAATAAAAATGATGATGATAATGAATTTAAGAACAATAATAAATTTAAGAATAATAATAAATTTGATAATAATATATAGTAAAGTAACATACAACAATAAGAACAGTAACAATAACAAAACACAATTACACCGATAACGACGACTACGACAACAACAACAACAACAACAACATCAACCCCCCTGAGGCAGCCCAGCCTGGGTGGGTGCCCAGCGTGTCCCCTCCCAGTGTCCCCAGCCGTGTCCCTACCATGGCATCCTTGGCGCTCTGCAGCAGCCGCTCGTGCTGCTCGGCGATGGCCAGGGCAGCCGCGTGCACCTTCTGGTAGATGGCCTCGCCATGCCGGGTCTGGAAGATGAAGAGCCCTTCTCCCGTGTCACACATCCTGCCGGGGGACGAGCACAGGGCAGCCCAGTGGCAGGGGGAAGCTGCGGCCCAGCAGAAGCTCCCCGCGCTGCCCTGAAGTGCCCAACACAACGGGGAGGAAATCAGGAGGGGAACAAAGTTATTTCCACCTTTTTTCTGTCTTTTCTCAACGTGGAAATGGAACTCGGTGTCATTTAGTAAGGAGGTAATGTAAGAGTGGATAAAGATCCACCGGGGCACTTGTGGAATGATGTCCACCCCCACAGGGTGCACCCAGAGCCAGCAGAAGCTCCCCGCGCTGCCCTGAAGTGCCCTCACACAACGGGGAGGAAATCTGGAGGGAACAAAGTTATTTCCACCTTTTTTCTGTCTTTTCTCAACGGGGAAATTAAACTCGGGATCATTTAATAAGGAGGTAATGTAAGAGTGGATCTTTATCCAGGGGCAGTTGTGGAATGATGTCCACCCCCACAGGGTGCACCAGGACCCAGCAGAAGCTCCCCACACTGCCCTGAAGTGCCCAACACAACGGGGAGGAAATCAGGAGGGAAAAAAGTTATTTCCAGCTGTTTTCTGCCTTTTCTCAACGTGGAAATGGAACTCGGGGTCATTTAGTAAGGAGGTAATGTAAGAGTGGATAAAGATCCACTTGTGGAATGATGCCCACAAAATCCACCCCCACGGGGTGCACCCAGAGCCAGCAGAACCTCCCTGTGCTGCCCTGAAGTGCCCTCACACAACGGGGAGGAAATCTGGAGGGAACAAAGTTATTTCCACCTTTTTTCTGTCTTTTCTCAACGGGGAAATTAAACTCGGGATCATTTAATAAGGAGGTAATGTAAGAGTGGATAAAGATCCACCGGGGCACTTGTGGAATGATGTCCACCCCCACAGGGTGCACCCAGAGCCAGCAGAAGCTCCCCGCGCTGCCCTGAAGTGCCCTCACACAACGGGGAGGAAATCTGGAGGGAACAAAGTTATTTCCACCTTTTTTTCTGTCTTTTCTCAACGTGGAAATTAAACTTGGGATCCTTGAATAAGGAGACAATGTAAGAGTGGATCTTTATCCAGGGGCAGTTGTGGAATGATGTCCACAAAAGCCAACCCCATAGAGGTGAGGACATCTTATAGGTTTTAGGAAATGAACATAATTAATAAAAAGCACCAATTAGGAGGACAAGAGGTGATGCAGTTTTGCCATTCCCCCCAGGTCAAACCCCATCTCTGGAGTGCCCCCTGGCCCTGGCTGTGCTCTGCCCATGAAACATCTCTGGGAGTTGTTCTCAGCTTTGGTTCCCAGCAAGAGCCAAACGAGCACCGGGGCCCTGTGCCCCCAGGACTTGGAGATCTGGAATTCATTTTTATTTTCTGCCAAGGGAAAAGCCACGGAAAAGCAGCCACTGATACCACAGGCCACAGAGCTGCAAATGTAATGTGCAAAGAACACAGGGAACACCAAAAAAAAGTCAAAAACTGAAGGGCATCATTTCTGCCTGTGTGCAGCCCTGGTGCATTTACTGCCCCAGGCTGTGCTTGGGTTGCTCTCTCCAAACTCAGCTGGTCCTTCACAAGTGCAAAAGCTCTGCAGATTTCCTGCACAAACCCAGATTTTTTATATTTAGGCTCTATCTGGAATCTGTGCCAGGCAGGATTCATTTGTCTTCCCCTTTTGGACTTTTAATGAGTAATGCAGACTTTTGTCTTCCCCTTGAAACAATAAATACAAATTTTATTTGGTTTTTTTAGGGGTGTATATTTGTTTCAGTATTTTAACTGGGCTGCATATTTGTTTCAGTATTTTAATTGGGGTTTTTAGGGGGGTTATAATTGTTTCTGTATTTTAATTGGTGTGGGGGGTTATATTTGTCTGAGTATTTGAATTGGTTGGTTTTGGGGAGGGTTTATATTTGTTTCAGTATTTTAATTGGGTTTTTTGGAGATAATACATACTTCAGTATTTTAATTGCATTGTTTTGGGGGAGGTTTATATTTGTTTCAGGATTTTAATTGCATTGTTTTGGGGGAGGTTTATATTTGTTTCAGTATTTTAATTGGGCTTTTTAGGGGCTTATACTTGTTTCAACATTTTAAGTGTATTTTTTAGGAGAGGCTATATTTGTTTCAATGTATTAATATGGTTTTTTTTGGGGGGGTTATACATACTTCAGTATTTTAATTGCATTGTTTTGGGGGAGGTTTATATTTGTTTCAGGATTTTAACTGCATTGTTTTGGGGGAGGTTTATATTTGTTTCAGGATTTTAACTGCATTGTTTTGGGGGAGGTTTATATTTGTTTCAGTATTTTAATTGTATTTTTTGGGGGAGGTTTATATTTGTTTCAGGATTTTAATTGCATTGTTTTGGGGGAGGTTTATATTTGTTTCAGTATTTTAATTGTATTTTTTGGGGGAGGTTTATATTTGTTTCAGGATTTTAATTGCATTGTTTTGGGAGGGGTTACATTTCTTTCAGCATTTTAATTTGGTTTTTGTGCAGGGTTACATTTGCTTCAGCATTTTAATTTGCTTTCCAGGGGTGTTATATTTGTTTCACTATTTTAACTGGGTTTTTATGGGGGGGATTTATACTTGTTTCAACACTTAAATTGCATTTTTTTTTTTGAAGCTATGGATCCAGGCTGGCCTCTGGCTGCAGATCAGCTCCCACATCCTTGGGAACCCTCTGGAGGAGGCTGAGGCACCCCAGGAAGGCAGAGCAGGAGCAGAGGGTGACCTACCTGCCTGCCTCGAAGGTGAACCAGGCTGGGTCCCGCCCGTAGCGCCGCAGGGCACTGAGTGGCCACGAGACCAGTTTGACTCTGGGATTCTGGATGTCCCAAAGACAGATATTCTCAAATGTTATCTGCAAGGTACATTCCCCATGCACATCTAAATTAGGGGATGGCATCAAATACACATTGAATCTCTCTGGGAGAAAAACAAAAGGTTAGTCTAAAATCCCTGCCCAGCAGCACATGTGCAAGTCATTCAAGGAATTTCCTATTTTCCATCTCTATTTCTACTATTGCTTCCACTTAGAACTGTTCATTCCCACACAAAGAATTCCTTCCTGCAGCTCTGTAAGCCCCACGTTTGGGGGCAGTCAAATGCTGCACCCAAAGGGCATCAAATATTTGTGTGTGCACTCAGAGCCTGAGGAGAAGTGCACCAGCATAATCCCGGTATTTGCAAACAGCTCATAAAGTTGTGAGCAATTTGTGAATAAATCCATTGCCTGTGCAGGTAATGAGCTCATTTGCACAGGGAAGTGGAGTAGCCACGGGCTCAGGTTTTGCATGCAATTACTGTTATTTATTATTCTCTTTACAAAGCCTCAGCCACTGACATCACACCAGAAAACCACACAACAAATAGTTCCCATCTCCAGGAGCAACTAACTCATCTGAGAAAGGGAAGTGCTACTCCAAAATAATTCTAGATAACTTATTTATTATCTCTGGTAGCAAGACCCAAAAATAAACCCCCAGCCAACCAAAACCAACCCCCCAAAACAGCAAAGAGGGCTTGGAAAAACAGTTTTGCTCCTCTTTATTTCCAATACCCGTATGTACACTCTAAAAGGCTTGAAATTAATGCAATTAAAAATTCAAAAGGTCGGTATTTCTGTACCTACCACTCTGCTCCCTCTCTACTCCAGATGCCAACAAGTCAGGCTCTCCAAGGCTAATGTCATTAATTCGTGTTCCCAGGCACTCCATCTGCAGCACCTTGCACCACTCATCTGCCTCAAGCTCTGCAGAAATGCCCAGAAAATCTGCGTGTAGGTACATCATATTTACAATTTCACACTCCGTGCTCCGAGGGTTCCCATTTGACCCACCTGAGTCACAAGCAAAGGTTCTGGAGGTGTCATCACTGAAATAAATGCCCACTGCGTGTTTCTTGGTGCTTTTGGGCAGCCTCGAGATATTCTTCACGTTATTGAGCTCTGTGACCTGGAAAAGCACAATTTGGGATTTTAATGAGGAGCCTGGCAAGAGATCTGTCCATTCTTGGCTGGGCAAGGGGAGGAGAGAAGGGAAAGGAAGAGGGAGAGAAAGGTGAGACAGCATCAGCAGGCTCTGAGTGTCTGTGATGGAGATGCAGGCTGGCCAGGAGCCACCTCGGAAATCCCAGGGGAAATTCCATCCTCCACTGGGAGCTGCAGCAGCCACGTCCTCCAGCTCTCCAGGACATCAGTGTGACACCATCCTGAGGGAACTGCAGCCAAGGGAGAGGTGGAACCAAAGCTGCCTCCAGCCTGAGCAATATTCACACGAGGGGCAGAGAAACACCAACCTGGAGCAGCAGAAGCAAAGAGAGGTGGAGATGGAAACCCAAGGGATTCACCCACGTGGAGCTCCAGCACTGCCAGGTCCAGCACGGAGGGCAAAACACTGCTGAAAAGCTGCTCTCTGTATTATATTTTTTATTGAGGGAAAGTTGAGGATTTGTTAGACTGGTTCACTTCAAAAAAAAAAAAAAAAGGCAAAAATAAAGTCAGAGTTTTCGTTATCAGAAAGTGTTTTAGTGTTAAAGATTCAGAAACAGATTTCTGTTGTCTGGGTGCCAAACAATGATTGGAAAAATAGCTTTTACACCAAAAATATATAAAATTGGTATTACCTTGTGCACAGCTTCAGAAAATACACAACACAGTGATTTAATTTTTCTAGCATGAACGAAGCTTTTAAAACACCTCTCAGTTGCCCCAGCTCTGGGTCAGAAAAGGGCACAATCTGACAGAAGCCCTCTGGAAAAATCAGAATATCTGCCCTGCCCAGCCCCCCTGGCACCACAGATGGTCCAAACTGTCTGGCACATCCTCCTGGAGCTGCCACTGCAGCCTGCAAACACCCCACGCTCCTGGAACCAGCAGAGCAGGCAGCAAACACCTGCAAATATTTGAGGCTGAAGTTTGGGTTTTTTCCCCCCTTTTTTTTTTTTAATTTTGCATTTTAAAATAGCTCTCCTCCTGCCAGGCTCTTGCAAAACGAATGTTTTTGTGGTTAGTCTAATTCATGTGTGTTTTATTTATCTGAGATCAAAACTAATGTACATTTATCAACTGAGTTCTAAAATGGGGGTTACACCACAAATACCAGACCTGAGACAGTATTAACAGAGAAGCCAAAAAATGACATTTTGTTGAGGTTTAAAACCTCTCTTTGCATATTTCTCCCCTCCTTCTCCCTTCCAAACCTCCTTTGGATTAAAATGACAATCCACAGAATTGAAATGCATTTGATTAGATTAAAAACTCAAATACCTGCAGAGCTGTGCAGTGAGGGAGGTCTGAAGCAGCAGCAGGGATTAATCCATCAGTCACTTCCCAGCTGGCAGAACAAGCAGAGTTCCAGCCTGCCACATCCACTCAGCCAAAATTCTTCCTTCCATCCCTCCCATTTGCACCAAAAAGCATTCCAAGAAATGATCCTCAGCATTCCAAGTATTGTTTGAATCAGTGCAGGATTCTCAGGGATGGGGAGCACTCAGAGCATCACACCAGGGATTGCATTTATTGCCTGCACAACGCTTCCCAAGCACCCTGGGTTTTAATCTTAATTAAGGATTCGTGGCTCTGTCTTGGCTTACTGAAAATTGCCCCCATGATGAGAACCAACAAAACATTTCCCAGGAAACCCCAGGGGAACATTTAATGGAAAATATTATTGCTCACTCCTGCCTGCACATCTCTAACCTGCTGAGTATAAATAACAGATTTAATTTTATATAAAATCATGGAAGGGTTTGGGTTGGAGGGACCTAAAAGCTCATCCAGGTCGAACTTCTCCTTCTTTCTCTTCTCTTCTCTTCTCTTCTCTTCTCTTCTCTTCTCTTCTCTTCTCTTCTCTTCTCTTCTCTTCTCTTCTCTTCTCTTCTCTTCTCTTCTCTTCTCTTCTCTTCTCTTCTCATTTTCTTCTTCTCTCCTCCTCACAAGCATTCCACAGAACTCTCCTGGGTGGAATTTCAGTGCAGACACCAAAACCCCCTGAAAAGTTCCTTTAATTCTGCTGAAGGCCTGAACCTGGTGCCTCACTCCCAGCTAAGTGACAGCACTCATTAAAATAAATGTTCAACAGCTCCTCCTCAGCAGAGTGCTCAGACTGGAAACATTTCATTTGCCACTGATACAGTTTTGCCTGGAAAACAATTACAAGTTCCACAATCTAATTTTCCAAATGGATTATTCCATAAGCAGACAGAAAAGACTGCTTAAATGACTGACTTTAAATGAATGTTTAAATGACTCCTGCTGTTTCAAGGCAAGATTAATACAATGGGATTAAAACTCAGCCCTGGAGGGCTCAGTGTTTTCCTGTCAGCAGGAAACAATTAGTTCAGTTTTTATTGGAATATTGAGGATTCTTCTGGCACATCCCTAAGTCAAAAGAAATAAGAATTTCTTCCTTCCTCCAGTATTATTTATTCAAGAATGTGGCAATTTGTGGTTGCTTATTTATTTTTAACAAGTGAAAATCAGACATTCACCTGAAAAGCAACTCTGTGCAGATTTTGCAGCCTGAATTCTAATTATTTTCCCTCCCTTGTGGGACCAAAGGAATTAGGTGGGCAATTTGCTTTGTGTATGCAAATTCCCAGTTCACTCCATAAATCCCAGCTGACTGTGCCCACATTCCTTTATTTTAGGGCACTGTGACCTTTCCACTTTTAAAAAACAGAGCAAGATTAGATGAGAAAGGATTTAAAGGTCAATATTACACAAAAAAAAGTGCTTATTTCTGTTTTACACCTCCCTGGTGAGGATGCCCAGACTCGGGCCCTGTGCAGAGCTAAGACAAGGACACACTCAGATGCAAACATTTGGGACTCCCCAAAATAACAGAAGCAGCAGCAAGACAGTGCTGGCGACCCAAAATTCAAATGGAGAAGGAAAGGAGCTTCATCCTCAGCCCCAGGGATTGGAGCCACCACAAGCAGGGCCCTGCCAGCCCCTCTGCACCAACAAATCAAGGAAAATCTTGCACTTTAATCCACCCCAGAAAAAAGGACAAGGCCCCAGAAGGGAACACTTGAGTGAAGGAGGCAGGTGCTGCTGAAAAATGAGCTCCATTCATCATTTTCCTTTTCCCCCCTTTAGCGTTTTATGATGGATTAAACCTCTCCCAGGACTGATGGGCTGAGTGAGGGCTCTTCAGGTTTTGTATTTTTATCAATTATTGTATCAATAATTTTAGGTTATCAATAATTTTATCAATAATTAACTATGATTTCCATAAGAATCATTCAGCTACAGAGCAGCAGAGACAAGTTCTCTTTTTCCAGCAGCTCATATTTAATACTCTCAGAAGCTCCATCATTCAAATTTAAATTTCAACACATTTACAAGGCTTATTTTAAAAAAACCCTGCATTTTTATCCACCTGTGCTCTTTACAAATGAGCACATTTTGCCCAGAAATGCCATTTAATATTCATTAGCTCCCTCTCAGGGAGGTTTGTTAAAAATAAAGGAGCCCTGTCAGTTTGGAGAGCTGATGACTCTAAACCAGAGAACAGCCTCTCTCAACATCCCATCCCAGTTCCCTCTCTGCCTGAAAATATTCTCAAAATCCAAATGAAAATCAGAATTTTCCCGATTTCATCACCCTGGAAGTGTCCAAGGCTGGGCTTGGAGCAGCCTGGGATAGGGGAAGGTGTCCCTGAGGAAGAGCTGGGTCCTGTCCACATGATTGGCAAAGTTCTGATAAAAACCACACCAAATTTGTGTGTTAGTTCTCAGCGACTCATTTTGGACTTTGACCCTTGTTCATTCCTGTCAAATCAGCTACCAGAGAAATCCAGAAATTCAACTGGTAGGAGAAGCAGCAGTTTTAAATGAAGTAAGTGTTAAGGAGAGACAAAACTTGGCTTAAAACTGAAAATCCCACAGAGGGATTTTCATGATTTTCAGGTTTTTTCAGATTTTCATGAAAATCTGAACTCAATTTTCAGATTTTCATGAAAACCTGAACTCAGTTTTCAGATTTTCATGGAGCCAGTGAGGCTTTCCATGGTGCTTTGCTCTGCACATCCAGGCTGCTGTGGGTTAAACATCTGCAAACAGGTGCTAACCTGTGGAATTTCATGAAAGAAGAGAAGAAATTCCATGCTCATTCAGGCTCCTCTTGGATATCATATCCATTGCCCAAGTGCTACTCACATATTGCATTGACACAATGGGAAAAACACAGATTTGCATCAATTATTGACAGAGTTATAACAAAATAAATGCAGTGTTTGACACAGGGCTGCAGTTCCTGCACACACTGTGCAGCCCTCCCACAACAAAGGGAATAAAACCTCATTATTTCTGAAAGTTGCCTAATAGAAATGTGAATTATTTCTGGGCCTGACTTATTAGAAATAGCCAGGGGTTTTATGGCAAATCAATTCCAGGTTCTGTGGCATTCAGAGGCAGGATTCCCCCAGGATCTCCTCCCAAATGTCTGTCAGTGAGTGCAGAGCAGCCTCCAGCTCCTGGGAATTTATGCCCACAATTCCTAACCTGCAGTTTCTGCCTGCAATTATTATCAATTAAAAGGTTTCTTATTTCCACCTCCATGCCCAGGAGAATGACACATGGAAGTTCTCAGGTGAATGTGAGATGTGCATCATTCCAGAGCAGTGCCTGGGGGGAAATTCTTCATTCTTTTAACAGCAGTGAGTTTAGCAGAGCTCTGCACCGCTGTAAAATGTCCTTCATGTCTGCAGCTGCCTCCTGGCTTCCACAGAGGCAAAATCCCAGGAAATGGGAACCTCCAGGTGCCTTTGGAATTTTGGAATTCCCACCTTCCCTGGGATGGCTGTTCCTGTAAATATGAAGAGCCACTGCAGAGTATTTCAGATGTGATTTTAAAGGTCCGAGGAGAGGAATGCCAAATGCTTTAACAAATAAAGTCATTTTCCACTTGCTTAGCAAGATATTTGCTACAAAGAACATTTATTTTGCCTCTGCTTTACTGAATGAAAGCACACACAGAGGTTTAGGACCTTAAGAGTTAAAAAAAAAAAAAAATTCAATTTTCAGTAATACACAAAACTTTAGATTTTAGTAAGCAATAAAAGTAATCAAGTAATGGAAATTTGAGAGAACCTCGTGCCTTACCTTGTGGTAGCACCTGAAGTAAGCAGCTCGTTCATCTGAGAACTTCTCCAGCCTCTTGGGCCCTTTGCTTGAAGCTTTTTTGAACACTAACCAGCATCTCTGGTAAATCTGGAGACAAAAAGAATAAACTTGGCATCTCCACTGACCTGAACATCACCAACACTCACAGAGAAGTGAAATCCTGAATCAGCTGTGCACTCCCAGAAGTTTAGAGGGAACACAAGCCCAGGCTGCTGGGGAGCTCCATCTATTTTCTTTGGGTCCAGCCAGAAATTCTTGTGTGTGAGGAGTATTTTTGTGACTTCTGTATTTTGTGAACTCTGTGCATTTTGTGAATAACACAAAGGAGCAGGAACTGAATAATGGCAATGAAAAAAGCAGATTATTTAACTGTAGAACCCAAGATTTGGCTCCCAGGGTCTAACTGAATTTAAATCCAAGTCATTTGGGGCAGGCTCTGGTTTTCAAACCACCTTTTCCAGCTCTCCTGCCACCCTTCCCTGCAGCCCTCCCAGAGTTACCAGCCCTGCCAGCTGCTCACAGCCCACTCTCCAGCAGCAACTCCAAAGCAACACCTGAAATAAATCCCAGCTGCCACCAAAGTTAGTGGGATTTCAAGAGCAAAACAAAAAAATAACCAGACAGGCCCTCAGCAAGTGGTTCCCAGCACAGATTCAGTGATGACAACAGCCCAGTCATCAGACCTAGATACCATTTATTTAACTTATTCAAGCCAAAAAAAGCCATTCTCAACCTGTTTAGTCGATTTACCAGTAAACAATGAACCAATACCACAAAATATCTCTCCAAATCTTTCACAATTCATTACCAATCCCACTAAAAAGTAGAATATCTAAACCAAATTTCTCCCTAGAACACCCTTGTGAACCTCAAAATTTAAAATTATATTATATTGTGTTAAATTGTGTTATGTCATATTATGTTATGTCATATATAATTATTACATTATATGATATTATATTGTATTATGTTATGTATATTATGTTATGTTATATTATGTTATATTATGTTATATTATGTTATACATAATTACTATATTATATCATATTATGTTATGTATATGATAATATATTATATTATAATATATTATCATATATTATAATATATTACATTATATTATTCCTTAGTATGGCTGAGTAAAACGGAAAAAAACTCTTCTGATTTTCTCAGCTTGGGGATTTGTGAATATTCTGAGGCAGAGAGGGAATCTGAAACCAGGGGCTGCTGTGCTGGGTGATGAGCCAAACCCTGGAGCACCCTGGAAATGAGGGTGGCAGGGAGACCTGGCAGCCCTCAGCTCCTCAGTGAGCACAGCACCACCAGCCCTGCATTTCCTAGTGCCTCAAATGCTCCTCCTTATCTATGAAACACAAATTATCCCACCCAGTAAGCATGGAATGGAATATTCCACATGATAAGAAACACAAGGTTTGAATTCAGAAGTTGAAATCTGCATTACTGTGCCTCGACCCTCATTATTTCTGTTCAGGAACCGATTTAAATAAACATCTGAAAACGGCCAAATATTTAGAAATTGGAGGGGGGAATGTTATTTTTCACATCTTGAGGCAGGAGGGTTAAAATGGCTGTTTGAAAAACTAAGATACTATTATCTATTACTAGTATCTAAGATACTATTATACTGTTATTGTGGCTTCCACCACACTCCAGGAAAGCACAGAGATTTTACTACCAATACAAACAATTTCTGTTTGTTATTTCAGAGGGGCCCAGAGGTCACAAACAGCAGCACAAAATCTCATCTGGCAAATTCCTCCTCTGAGGACAAGTGAAGCTCCAGGGGCAGCTGCCCTGGTCTGTTCCTCTGCTGAGTTTTTCTGCACTTTGCCCTAAAACCAAGAATTCCAACGAGCTGCATTTCCAGGGACACTGACCTTGCTGTCAAACAAACACAAACTTTGCTTTTTTTCCAAAGCAGGAGCTGCAAGTTCTCCCAAGCAGCTTGGGATGCCTCCAGAAACCCTGGGACATTGCCAGGATTTAATTTTGTGACTCTGGTAACCTCCAGAAAGAGATAAAACAGTAAAGGCACAGCACAACGCTCAAGAAACTCCTCAGTCTCTTCTGAAATTTGCCTCTTTTTTAAATTTTATAGGAAAAAAGGTGCTGCCCCTTTACCCAAGGCTGGTAGAAGCTCTCACCCTGAGGGCTGCAGGAAAACCATTGGAGTTTTTGTTGGACTTTGGCAGGGAGTCTCCAGTGGGCTGGAATTCCAGTCCAAGGTCCTTCCAACAGGGAAGTTCACACAGGCAACCAGCCAGGGTTTGCATCTTCATTCTTCTATTTAAGGAAAAAGTCTTAATTTATCACTTCATGGTCCAAAGGTGGGAAACGAGCCCTGAAATCATTCCCAGTGCAAAGGAAATTCGGGAGGGGACGGGATGAAGCTGTGCCAAGAGCCAGGCTCAGCTCCTTTGTGCCATCCCACCAGGAATCTGCTCCCATGGAAAGCTGCAGGGCTGCTTCCACACAGAGCTCTGGGTACCACCAGCTCTGCTCTGTCTCCCGTCTGAACAGGACTGGCTGGCCCTAGAGAACACCCACAATCTTCCTAAGAGTTCACAAACTGTTTAATTGGAATTATTTCCTCCATAAAATTACAGCTTGCCTCTCCTTCTCCTACCCAGCAGCTCCTTCAGGCCAATCTCACCCTGAAAAGCCACAACAGAAGCATGGAACAATTACCAAGAGATGGATCACGGGGAAAAAAAAAATCCCTGGAGGTCTCTGGGTGGAATTGTGTCCAGCAGGAGTTGGGTGATGTCCAAGAGATGGATCATGGGGAAAAAAAAATCCCTGGAGGTCTCTGAGTGGAATTGTGTCCAGCAGTAGTTGGGTGATGCCTGCAGAGGGGAGCAGGGGCTGTGTGAAAGCAGCAGCAGAGCTGCCCACGTGCTGTCTGTAGAGCTGCTCCTGGCAGCAAGGCAATTTCTCTGTCCCAAAATACCCATTCCATGTGGCAGGAGTGAGCCACATTCCCTGCACCAGCTCACCATGACTGCATCAATCAAGGCTGCTTTGCATCCTGCTGTTCCCTTCTCCTGGGCACCACAGAAAATCAGCTCGATTTTCCTTCTCCCCTGAGAACACATTTGGGGAAGGATGAACCTCCCTCCTTCCCCACCATCAATGTTTTACAGCAGAGTCAGCCACAGCTGCTAATAGGGACTGAGGCTGTAATTTTGTTTCTGATTGCTCTCAGAGCGCACAGTGCTACTCAGAAAGGTTTTTTCCTCAAGTCACAAACCCCAGCTTTGGCACTGGCCAGGGCACAGAGAAATGCCTGGCAGACCCTGAGCAATCTGTGCACCTCTAACTCCTGCTAATGCAAGTCACAACAGATTGCTACTGCTCTGAAGCATCAGGCACTTGAGGGCTTTTCCCTTCCAAAGCTCTCCCCTCCCCAGCTGGAATCACACCAGCCAGAAGTGGGATTTTTGTTCAAGGTTCAGGCTCAGAGCCCTTTCTCCAGCCTCAGCTTCAAACACCAAGAGCTGCACTGGACCCACAGATGCATTCCTGCTTGACACCGTAACCAGAAGGCAGCTTTGTCCTACATCCTCATTTATTTGGGGTTTTTTGGTCCCTCAGGACTACACGGGGTTGATTCCAGAGAGAAGATTCCCTGCCAAAGCCCTGAAATCTGTGACACTGTCTGAGGCACCCAGAGCTGGGGAGCATCAGCGAGGCTGAGTGTCAGGAAAAGGTTTTTACTGGAAGAGTGATGAAGTACTGGAATGTTGCAGTAAGAGAGAAAAATCATCAAGAAAAGCTTCATAAAATCAGCCTGCTCTGGCTGGCCTGTCATTTCTTCTAAGGCAAGCTGGCACTTTGCAATTCCCATGTGAAGCAATCCTGGTGTGAGCAGTTGTTAACATAACAATCTGCTCCTGGGTGAAAAACAACTAGCACCTGTGTAAACTGGTTTTACACTGTTAGAAAAATGAAAACTATCTCTCACAAACAACTTTCCCTGCACTACACACCAGAGTTTGACCAATCAATACAGGATAACAACTTGTTACTGACCAATAAAGTGATTGGCAAGAAAGCTACTAACCCACAAGGTCTGTAAAAATGTATAAAAACCAGTTATGTGAATAAAGAATGGGCTTTTGGGGTTTTTTATAGACCATACACAGAGCAGGTTATAATTCAGGGCTGCTTAAGGCCATCAGGGGAGAGAAGAGCCATTCCAAAAGAAGAGCCAAGAAGCATTTACAGCAGAAACCCTCCCTTGGCAGTGACAGCTGAAAAAAACCAGCCAGGCTGGAGCTAAGTATCAGATTTGGCTCCTTGAACATCTGCTGAGCTTTGTACACGGGCACAGTTAATTCTGGGCATGAAACTGGATAGGAGAGAATCAGCCTGGGACTGGAAGTGAGGAGGAGAAATAGTAAAGGCTCCCCTGGAGGCTAAAGCTGGGCTCTGTGCAGGCAGCACAGCTGGATTTGCAGCTGGATTTGCAGCTGGGTGTGCTGCCCTGCTGGGCCAGCCATGGCACAACCCTGGCAATCAGCCCTGTGAGGGATCAGGGAGCTGCACAACAGGGTCTGCACTGATTCCTTTGTGCCAGAGTATCTGACTGTCAGTTCTACAGGCTGTGGGGCACTGCTGCAGCTCATTAACAGCTCACAAAGCTCGCTAATTAGGACATGGGATGCTCTGGGTGACAGCCACCCCAGCTGTGCCAAGGACAGTCCTGCTAAGCAGGGCAGCAGGGAGGTGTCCCCAGCGGGCACAGCTGGGACCTGCCCCTTGCCTGGACTCGCTCACAACTCACCTTTTCATCCCCCCACAGCACACAAACACCAGTGGGAGCTGCATTTCAGAGCTGCACTTGTTGCATTTCAGAGCTGGACTCGTAATTTTCAGATGACACCTAAGGAGACCCAAAAAAAGGGCAGAAGCTGCACAGGAACGAGGCCTTTCTGTCAGTAAAACAGTTTTTCCAGCACTGAGCTGCCAGCATCCAAAGCCAGCCATGGGAGAAGGGCTGCAGCTGTACCTGAAAACAGGATAAAAACCCTGCAAAACTCGGGTAATGATGCTTGTTAGGAGCTGCC